CAGCCTGCCCACTGTTTTATGTATGGCACTGTAAAAGATAAATGTGCGCGTTTTCAACTGTAATAATCCGCGACAGACGTTAGCGTAATTGTTTTACAAAAGTAACAGACGTAAACAGTTGCTGGTGCTGCGTTACTGAGCTGAAAAAAATGATTTCCTACACATAAAAAGTAAAATAATCTGTAATAATTGTAATCACAAAGGAAATTTCGTTATAATTACGACCTTTGTGGCCGAGTGGTATGTACGCTGGGTTTCAAGGTGTCGCCTACTCAGAGGTCCCAGGTTCGAATCCCGGTGGGAAAATTGTTAGTATGATGAATACGAGCACAAGTCATGGATGTTTATCTTTTACAAAGTCCCGATTTTATGTCAAGAATTACTGACAATTTGACAATTATGTCGACTTAAAAAATTACCCTTATTGCACAACACCATTGTCGTTGAAGTTATTGTAGATATGGACAAATGACAATTGTAACAAAATGCCTGTAATTTTTATGACATATGTCGTTTTAGTCAAATAGGGCCCAGGCAGACAATATGCATGTTTGCGTTTTTTATAAAGTGTTTTTATAATTAAAAAAAAACTTTAACGCTTGTTTTTAATAATATATAAAGAAAGCTATCATAAAAAATATTAACAAGCTTACATACTTACTTTTATTATTATTATTTTTACGTGGAAATGTCACTTAATATTGTTTTCCTTTTAGATGCATATACAATACGCATTTTAAGATTATGATAACACTAACGTTGATTGTAGTTTCATAAAGTTAACCGCAGAAAATTACTTTGAAGATGCATTACAATAAAACACCGAAATAAAAAAAGTATTTTAATTAAAACAAAGATTCGTGGAACACACCTTTGTGTCACAGTGAGTAAAATTTCAAAACGGTAGCACAACATTGTGCCATTCACCGACGTTGCTAATTTTGTTAAGTGTGGTTGCCAGTTTTAATTTTGTAATTTTGTCTACAAAACACAACTCTTTGAAAATATACAAAATAAAATTGGCGAATTGAATTTATGTATTAATTATTTGAATTTAACTGAAATCAAATGAAAAATCGTGGATAACATGGTTAAAACGTTGACGATAACAATTAGTAGACTCTCAATTGCCTAATAAAAGCGCATCAAAAAACGCCTAAACGCCTGCTTATTAAGCATTAATACCCTCCTAAGCCCTGGTGGGTTATGAATAGGACAACAAGTAGAAAAAGAAACTCATTTATGTATAGAGCCGGAAATATATTTGTCTGTCGTGTTGTGTCGCGACGAGTTTCTTACATTACACATATCGCGATACACATATACATATAATTCTAATCGTATGTACGAAACCGATACATTCCTGACACGTTACGATACTTAATACATTTCAGCCTTATATCATATTTTTAGATATTTAGCCCGATGACACTGTTTTTGAACTCGACTCTTAGAAAAAAAAAGTTTCCGAGTTTGAGATCTCATTTTTGGACTTCCGTTACAAAATGGAAAAAAATTGCGGATGCAGTTTGCGGGAGGAACAAAGTAAGTACAAAATAAATATTATTAAATTCTTACATCACTATTCAAGGACAATGAGCAAGAATTTATGAACGCTGCACCCACGTCCGCCACGGCTTAAACTACATTTGTTTGAAAGGTATTAATAGTCATGATCATCTGTGCCAAAGCGCATCAAATTCCATCCCGGGGGTCTTTAGTTATTTTAAGTTAAATAGGTACAAGTACTATAATGAACGAACATTAATGAAACTAGGGAATTAATTTAGTTTGTTAGTTCGACCCTACATAGAGGGCTCAGGTATTATGGGAATACTTCACAAGGTGCAAGGGTGTCCCCTTAAGTTATTTTGCCGCGCTAGAGTAAATCTAAAAATCCCCGCATGGGTTAGGGTTTTTTCAAACAGTCTGTTCCATATAGTAAAGTTTAGTAAAGCGCATCAAGTTTTCTATCACATTGTTAATTAATTACCATGGACGTATAAAAACGATAAAACTTCTATTAGTAAAGGAGTATTCGCTTTAAAAAAATCTATTTTCCTAGTTACATTACTGTTTTTTATTTATCTACTGTGGTTAAGAGCGGTGTGCTGCGGTTTCATTTTGCGTGTAGCGCGCAGTCCTGCGGGACATATGTCGGAACTTCCCCTCGAAAACTTCTCAAAGTGTAAAGTCTTGTTCTTTGCTAGGCGCGCCGAGGTGCTGTTTTGCAACCGCAATTTGACAATAATTAGGATTTCATTATGAACATCTATAATTCTAAGAGTTAATACAATTGAAAGCAAATATGTTTTTATTTTTGAAACCGACGTAGAGTTCAACCTATGTTTTTGTGATTATCACTCTCACCCCTTTCATTAAATCAATATTAATCCCATTCACACCAATCACTTAATAGTAATTTCTAAATAGTTTATATTGTAAGTAGTACGTATCTTTGTTTATAAGGAAATTTTAACGCCACTGTATTTATTTTTCTGAATTAGAGTTTTCCACGTCGTTTTATTACTGGATATTTAATAAACGTCATACAATCTTCATTGATTAACTATAATACTATATTGTAATAGACCTGAATAACACCAACATACTGTAATAAAATTCATTACAGCAATATTATTTTTTAAGCAAAAGCTCAGAATGTTTATGTTGCGAGTACTCAATATAAGTATGTTCTAACAAGGATTATAATGTTTAACTTGAACATTATTTTCCGTTAAGCGAACGTAAGTAGGCACCACAGAAAAACAGTTAGAGTTTATGAGCTTTAAGCACCCTTGGGTGTTTGTAATTAATCAATATACTGTACCCCTAGCACGAACCATTATCGAATTCGAATAGTTTGCAAAACGAAATGTCAATGTCAAAACTTGTATGGAAAATTGAACAGCAGCGGAATTAAGTACGTAACGAGAACTAAAAATCAATTCATATTTGACAATAACATTTCGGACTCGCAAACGATACGAATTCGATATTGGTTCGTGCTAGGGGTACTGAACACGGCGTTCTCCACTTCCGGTTTATTTTAAATTTTAATGGCCGCAGATAAGAATAGATAAGGTAAATAAGTTACTTACGCTGTCGGTGGCATCCAAAACTCCGTACTGAGTTTGTGGTCCATATCATGTTCATAATGTTTATGGACATGATATGGATCAAAGCGAGACGAAACATGTACGGGGTAGTTTCAAAGTTGCTCCCATATCTGAAAACCTTACTGAAAGCCGTCTGCGGTGGTATGGTCACGTAATGCGACGAGACGAGGAACATGTGGTCAGAAAGGCTTTATTGCTTCCTGAACATAAAAGAGGCAGAGGGCGCCTTCCCACCACCTGCAGGACCAGCATGATGAAGCTAATGACAGCTGAAAAATTACTCGAACCGACAACCCTAGACAGGGAGTCTTGGCGCCTTAAAATTGGGAGAGCCGACCCCATATTAAGTGGGAAGGAGCAAGGACGAAGAAGAGGTCTGATTTTAATATTTATTTATAAGTTACGTAAAATGTTATATCACTATCGAATGAAACGTATATTGTTTTAAACTTTCAAGGTCACTGACATTATAGTCACTTATGTTATTTACGGGAATTTTACCATGTACTTGGTTTTTAGGGAGTTTCTGATATTTTTTTGCACTGTTGTAAGCGCCATGATCACTTACACATCAGTTACTCCGTGATCATGGCGCTTGCAGCAGTAAATAACATAAATTACGAATAAAACCTATATCCTCAAGATGAATATTAAGAGAGCCTTGCGCTTAAACACTTTTTAAACTTGCTCATTTATTTTGCGAATTTTTGACTAGATAATTTGTCAGCTTTTGTATATTTATTGTTACCTATTTTACATTATGAGATGGAAGTTGACCTTGATACATGTTTGTTAGTTTCATGTCGGCTTTCAGTTTGACACCACTGTATGAAATAAATCATGGAGAATAAAAGTTCTACTAAGAACAAGGTCTCTTGCCTGTAAATTTGGAAACCGATGACATACCTTTCGACTTCCACATGTGCTTGTAAAAGCCTAAACCGAATAAATGAATTTTGAATTTTAATTTTTTTTCCACATGTTAAATAATTATTATTGGCTGCTTCAAGTCATAGCGATATTTTGCCATTTAACGTAATGAAGGACCACGGGGTGCCAACTATCGTGTAGAGTTTTCAAATATTTGCGCAACTTGCTTAGTTTTTTTTTCTATAAGAACCTTCTACAAAGTACGAGTATGTAATAGAAGAGTAAAAATATGGATGAAATCTGTAAAATCCTTCTCAATTTAAGACCAAGGGAAGAATTAAGATCGTATATAAAGATATTTATCTTACCTTTCAGGAAATGCATCATAAAATTTTGAGCGAACGAGTGACTGCTAGCATAGTCCAGTGGTAATCAAAAGGGACCTTCAAAATTTCGAGTTCAAACAATCGATGACAAATAAAAACCATGTCAATTGTTAATATTTATTTTATATGTTTACGGTGTTAACCAGTTTAATCAATATTTTAACTCGTATTATATCTGTTCAACCTTCAACAAACCAACGTTAGGCCCGCCGAGCAATAAAATGGGCAATAAAAAATTAATCAAAATTTAGAGGCTGCTTGCGAATTTCGCGTGTCATATACAGATTTGATAAAGCTCTCTTGAGTGACGTTGTAACCCAATTATTATTTGAACAAAACCAGGATTTACATGACACAGCGATCTGTACCGAATTGAAGGCTGTTTTATTTTTTAAGTTAACATTATCATAAAAGATACTTTATTTGCTTTTCGATTTATCGACTGCAAACATAAGTTTTATGGTAGCACTTGCAATTCTCCATTAACTTAAAAATTATTGATGGAATATTATTGAATATTTTTTTATATCGAATAAAAACTATATTTTTTTAAATTTACAACACTTATCGTATTTTGATTCAAAGAGAATATATGTTGTTGATGTGGTGGTTTTGATTGAATTGACATATTTTGGCACAAATACTATCATAGAAGCATACTAGGGTTAAAATAAATTGAGAATTATGAGTAAAATCCTAATATCAGTTTTAAGGAGTGCATCTACAATTATAAGACGCCAAATTAACACGCACTCTCTACTTCGCAACAAGGACAAATCAGATCAAGGTAATGTACAAGAGAACAATCCAATCTGTTTAGAGCCTATAGAGTCCAAAGCTTCTACTGTCAAAAAGCACGATAATGCAATGCGACAGAAGCTCTATGAGTTTGGAATATATTGCGCTGCATGTATGCCTAAATATGTTCAGAAAGTACAGATGCAACATTGCGATCAACTGGAACTACTTGTGGCTCCAGAAGGAATGTTCCCAGTTCTTAGTTTTCTCTGCCACCATCAGCACGCTTGTTTCAATGCATGCTCGGCGGTGACAGCAATTGATGTGCCCAGAAGACCGTTCAGATTCGAAGTTATATATTGTCTGCTGTCATTGAGATTTGGAGAACGGATAAGAGTTAAGACGTATACTGACGAGCTTACTCCACTCCATTCAGCGTACTCCCTATGGAAGGTTTGCAATATTTTCGAAAGAGAGGTGTACGATATGTTTGGCGTCATTTTCACTTATCATCCGGACTTGAGGAGGATTCTCACCGACTATGGCTTCACTGGACATCCGCTGCGGAAAGATTTCCCATTAGTTGGCTACACGGAGCTGAGGTATGATGATGATCTAAAAAAAATCGTTTACGAACCAGTTGAGTACGCACAAGAGTTCCGCAGATTCCAACTAGAGTCGCCTTGGAATTACATGAAAAATTTCCATGAGGGTTACTCCAATCCTCCTCCACCTAAGAAAAACTAAATTTTTGTTAAATTTCAAAAGTGTATTTTGTAAACATTTATTTATTGGTGTTGTTAAATTTCAAAATACATCCAGGTATGTTATCCCGGGTTTCATTTTGTATAAATTTCCCTAGAACGTTGGACTCGGGCACTATATCTTGACGCTTAAGGATGTTTTATGTTTTCACCTTTTTCGTTTAGAATACAAAATCATTATCAGGAAAGAGAGGAGCGACTTCTATAGTTTGAATTAAATCTTGTTCGCTAATGAGCTTTTGTGTTGACACAATGGCGGAGCGTCATTTAGAGCGCATATAGCACATATAATATAAGATGGCCGCCATCCCCTCTACCAGTGAGCAGATGACGGTCCTTTCTAACGCCTCAATTAATAACTTTGGAAATTAACGCGAAGTGGCTAATTATTCTATCTCCATTTCATTAAGTTAGTTGCTCCGCGAGTTGATTGTCGGTCAAAATGAACCAACCTCATCATGACTTTAATATTGATACCTATATCTATTTAAATAGAGTAGATTCTATCAACTTTTTGGTTATTGAATTTATGAATTAATTTTACTTTTTCGGTAATTTCATCAAGACTTTATTTTTCTTCACTGTTTAGAGTATTTTAAAGGACAAAATGTATATTTTTTAATAGAATACAGCCAGTAAGCTCACTTGTATTATGGTGCATTAGCCCCATATATAATAATATAAATTAATTTTCCAGTCCAACAGGTATAAAAATATAGGTATAATTCGTACATTAAAAACCTATTTATCGTATCGTGTGTGTCGTCTGAAATTTTTACTAGAAAAATCCTGTCCATGCACCGGACAGGATTCGAACCTGCATTCTAATCGAGTGGTATTTTTTTTTTCTATTAAAATTTTCTCTAGATTTATAAACGGAGCAGTTTAATGTTTAACTTATAGTAAAGAGTCAGCCAGTCAAAGAAAAAGCCGGATCAGATAGACTTCAAGCGATCCACCGCAACATCCTCATTAATACAGAATTTATAGTTTTGTCACAAGTTGAGAGAGCGCCGGGAGAAAAGTTGCCCGAATCCCTATCGGGTTCATATCTGCCTCCGTCATACATCTGCGTAAGAATAACGGCGGAGTAGAGGGCTGAATGAACAATCGGCCTCAGTGTGTGGTTCACCGTTCCGCGATCAAGCCGCCCGCGGCACCCGCGCTCCCATGGGACAAGGCAAACTTATCTCGCACAAACTTAGAACAATCACTCGCAACTTTCAAACAAAACTGTAGACAAACGGGTTAATAAAACAATAACAACCTACGGACGATTTGCCGAGCTTTAGATGACCACCGAACTATATTTCGATAAACTGACACTGAAAAAGGTAAGTTCGATGATAAGGTTTGAATGCGCTTGACTATTTTCTTTGGCTAACTACCACCAGTTTTATAAGCAGTTTATCGTGCAAAATTATTGTGTATTTGTTTGTTTTTTGTTTCAACTCATTCTTCTTGTTACGTTGTAAGGATTTAGGTTTAAATTGAAGTAAACGAAAAGTGAGTTCAGGGTAACTTGCTATAATTTGTCCTGAATATTTTTTTGCTGTTGTAATGTGTTTCGTTATTTTATACTAGTACTTACACCACAAAATGGTTTCGTATACCAAAAACTTTTTGCATTACTTTTTTGGTAAATAGGTATTAATTTACTCTGTGTGTACTTACAGAACCGGCATCATACTTTCATGATTTTCCAAAAATGTTAATGTAAAGCAGCTAAGTAAGTTAGTACTCAATATTTTAATTCTTGGTCAACATACAATCCATTGATATCGTTTTGAATATTGATTAATATAATAAAAAAGGTTCTGTTAAAATTTCAAACCTACATCGAATTGTTAATGCAATGTTTTCCATCAAACTAAGAATTTAAGTAAGCAATAAAATGTGGACTTTGGAATATTATTCTAGAATAACAACTGCTATAACTGCTGTAACAACAAATAAGATAAAGTAAATTTCGATGAAATTTGTACGACAGAACGGAAGTTGTTGTGTTGTTTCATACAGTTTAATAATTAAGTTAAGGAGGAAAGTATGTTTAACTGAACGCCTACCGCCCTAGGAAATATCCCTACCCCCAGGAGTTCACTCTGAGGTTACTGAGCTATGTTTTGATTTGAGATTTAGTAAGGGTGAGGGGGGCGCAAATCGTATGTGGCCTAGGGAGCCTGACTTTCAAATACGTCCCTGCCTGCCCCCTTAGCATATATCTCTAGCTACGCTCATGTGCAAGAGAATTAAACCCCTATTTTTAGTTTCTTGCATATGAGAAACCCAAAAAGAGAAAAAAAACATTAAAGAAAAGCTTATCATTGTCCACTCAGATTTTTATCTGCAAACCTTTAGGAAAATAAAGAACAAACAATATAGTTATGCATTTTTTAACTGTACGTCAAATATGATCAAATCAACATCATACCGATTTGACCAAAGCTTGATTCACACGTATCATAATAGGTTTTGTAGTAATGATTCACATAATTGGAAAACGACTATTACTTAAAAAACTCTTAAAAAAACTCAAGAAATTAATTAATCTCAATAAATTCCTGTTCATTTGAATCATCATAAAACGTACTTTTTGTAGGTATAACTTTGATAGTTGTAAGTTTTCTACTTTTTGAGAAAATTGTATCAGAGTTCAGAGGTAGCAAGTGATATGATTTATTTGCCGTCCAGTGTAGTTGAATTCACACAGACCACATATTGCCGTCACTATCGACCCCATGTGTGATACCGACTAGACCGCGGAACCACGCAACAGCCAGCGACACCATGAACTGGCCGGCCACATCTCAAACACTTGTTTCTTCTAAAAAATCGGATGAACGCTAAGCAACTACATCTCAACCATTAGCAACAATGCAACCACATCCATGTTTTGTAGATATCACAACTTAACCACAAGAAGCCGCAGCGGCACTTTTCACATGTAACTACAGCTTAATCCCTTTTTGTCTCGATAATGTGTGGTTGCCGTATGTGTGAAACAACACTAAGGTAACTGGACCTTAGCACTTTAGCTAAATGTCGATTTAACCAAAACTAGATTTAGCCCATACAATAATGACAAATTGGCATTGATGTTTTGACATTTTTTATGGGTTAATTCTAGTATTAGTTAAATTGAGATTTAGCACAATTATTGCAAGTCAAAATTGATTCCAGAATTACATCGCCGGTTTATATTTTTTGTATGTAGTACCACACTAAAATATAAACTGGAAAAGTTTGTACAGAACCTTCAGTCGCGAGTCGGATCGCACTTGGTTATTGTTTGGTCTATTCATGTAATCATAATTTGTATTGACGACTTATAATTACATCAATTGTGTAAACACAGCTTTAAAATAATAGCTCTGACCCCGACAACAACAATTACGAATATTTTTCGTTAATTTGCTTACCGATCTATTTTTATCATAAATATTTTTGTTCGTTATTATGTTTTATACTGAGCTTTTGTTGCTATCTGTAAATTTCTTATGTAAAACTTAAATAGTCATAATAACTGTAGCATTTGCGATTCCATCCTTTCTCAAAATTTTTATTAAATAAATAAATATAAATATTTCCAACACTCACACCAATTAGCTTAGTCCCAAAGTAAGCACAGTAAGGCTTGTGTTATGGGATGCTAGGATAACGGATAGAATACATATACTGCACATATATAAGTATATAGAAATACATATTTAAACATCAATGACTGGAGTTTAAATGCTCGTATTCATCACACAAACATCTGCCCCCACCGGGATTCGAACCCGGGACCTCTCGAGACGGCGACACCATGAAACCCGGCGTATAAACCACTCGGCCACGGAGGCCGTCAATATACATATTGATATTGATCTATATACATATTTTAAAGTCACTTTTTACTATTAGAATGACAAACAATTCTCATACGTACAAAATTAACGGCGTACATAGCACTCAATATAGTGAATTCTGAACACATCATCACAACTTTCATGTAAATCAAATAATAAACTACATTCTACTTTGGTAAACTCCATTACCATTGTAGATAGGTACAATAATTACGTGCCAAGAGTTCAGTAAACTCAAAAGAGTTTTCTAAATCGTTCAAACAATTTTTACTTACTTCAAATGCTGCAAGTTCTCTTAGAACGATCTCCGACAAACACTTGGTTCCGGTCAAAATTAACAAGTATTTAACACGTCGATGGCTAATTACCTGCCAGAGCATTACAGTGGTCGGTGGTCGGTTAACAGATCCGCTTACAATTTTATTACTTTGTAGTTGTAGCTAACTTTAGTAATCAAAATATATACCTAATAATAATATTGTGATCACTGAGATTTAAATGCACCGAACTGCAATACTAAGTATCACACTTTTAAAATTGCAATAACTTTTTAAGTATACAAGATGTCGAAATAAAAAGGACTCGAAAAAGAGTTATTTTTTTTAATAAACCACTATTTCAAAGAAAGCTGATAAAATTTGCTATAAACGTCTGCTCGGTATATAAATCTAAAGAATATTATCACTGGAAAATTTTAAACTTGACCAAGATTTCATTGCAGGACTTGAACCTTGGTCTTCCGCTGTCCGAGTGGATGCACCAACCGTCTATCGAGACCTTTATGCTCGTCTTCTAATTATTTAGTTGAGTATTGTGGTTTACCTACAATGCGAAGAAATGGCGCTGCCTTGCAGCCTAAGATACAAGGAAGACGCGAGTTCAAGTCCTGTCTGAAACCTTGACCGAGTTGATTTTTTATAAATATTTTTCTTCAGTTTACATATCTTTGATTGTGTTCGTTACCTTTCTTTTTTTTACATAAAATATTATTGTAGTTTTTAAATAGAAAGTAGGACACTACACGAAAATTTTCATGATAAATCTATTACCCTGAATTAATGTTGATATAAGATTTGCGCAGCTATGGGATAGGTATATTTTATTATTTGCAGTAGTGAAGGTTACGGAGTATTTGATCACATCAATCTCATCACCACTGTGACTGAAATTCATCATGACTACCAAAACCAGAGTTCAAATCCAACAAAAAAGTTAAAACATCAACTGGGCCGAGGTTGAAATTTAATTGACGTCTGTGAGTACGGTTGTTAGTGCCTAGACAAAATGACTGCATTGATCTGCATCCCATCTATATAATTGTTTCAGTACTAGTGCGGCTGACATGACTGCATTGAAGCTACACGCTTCCGACTGGGCAATTCACTTCCGGTTTTGCGATTTCGTTGATACTAGTAACTATGCATTTTCTATATTTAGATCGTTGCGTCTTATTAATTTTAAAATACTAACGGCCTCACTAAATAAGTCAATTAACTTTTAACTTTAATTGGTGGTGTCACCAACTTTGTAATTACAATAGAATAAGACAACACATGGATTAATAAAACATTAAATTAATTTAAGGTTTTTGAGTACGACTGTGAGTACCATGAGCAAAAGTACACAATAAGGCATAGCAAATCGTGGGTCATGTATGGTTTTGTCCTTTAATCAAATTTATTTTATATGATAATCTTGGCGTTTCTACTAATGCTTTTTTATTAGAAATTTCGTAAACAAAAATAGTGTGAACAGACGGTCGTAAAAGCGGCAAGTTTGACACAATTATTAATTGAAAAAAAAACGAAGCCATTGTCGCTGCTTACATTAATCTAAATAATTCTTTTCATTGAAAACAAATAATCAAATCACGTCAGTCAGTAAAAGTAAACTAAAATGTAAAATACAATTATTACAATGTTTTCTAAAACGGTATTTGTCAGCATTTCTAAGCTATACTTAAATAATTACATTATATAAATTTCATTAATTTTCTTGTATTATAATAATATTCTTTCAAACTATATTAATGATTTACACCCTAACTAGAGACGAATACACCTAAGTAGTAGTTCCGTCGATGTTTAGTACAAGTTAGCTGACCGGTATGAAATTTCCGACAGCAGCGCACAACGAACTTAGTTCAGCGCCCAAGTTGCAGACTAGTCTGCAACAGTACTGTGCAATACGAACTATTATTGTAAGTGCGTTCTTGTTTAAACGTCTACTATTTTGTTTATGTATTATTTAATTTACCCTACAATACATAAAATAGTACCCACTTAAAATATACAGGATGAAAAAATCCTTTAACGAAGTCGAAGGCGTATATTACACATCATGACGATCAGTTTTTTCTTCTAGACCATACCTGGGGAATTTTATGGTTATGGAGATATTGAAGGTCAGTCACGATTTCTTTCCAAATTTATACATTAATATTTTCTAATAAGAAACTTTTTTATCGACGCACACATACACACACATACAGACAGGCACATTGTTTTTTTATTACTTAAAAATACAAATGATTCCCGCGTACAATGTTTTGTAATATGACTTGTTTGGATGTACAGAATGCGTAGTTTTAGTCTTTGTCATAGGATTTTTTATACCCTGTAGTTAACATTTTAGTTTTTGTGCACTCCTTTTGGCCTCGTGTTAACTCCCGTTTGTTTTAACGGACACCGGGCTATTGCTTTTAATTTGTCCTTTTCATCGATGCGTTGCTAGATGAAGATAAGTATCCAGCTTCACAGTGTCCGGTAAAATAACGGTTGTTAAGAAGAGGCCTAAGGAGGCTCGCATTTCAGCAGTGCTATATTGTAAAATTTTCACGCGCAGATCCATTGCGGATCTGCGCTTTTCGGATATAGATTCGCGTGGATCCACATCGGATCCGCGCGTGAAAAGTTTACAGTATATACAGCAGGTTTCGTAGAAATTCTAATACATAGTGCCTACTGGATGCAGAAAAAAACATGCAGTAATAATTTGCACGAATTAAACTATCCGTAGGAGCACTTTGTAACACATTTTTTTTATTCCAGTAGTTTCATATTTGCACGGAATTTACAAACTTGCAATATGATTGGTTCCTTGCGATAGTTGCTCTGCGTGAGGTTTTCTCCGGAATGTGCTCTATATCGTTTGGTGCAAATCGCAACTAGTATAAACAACAAACTTTCTAATTGTAAACCGAATAAGTTGTAACAAATAAGATAGGTAATAAATTGTTAGCCACTCATTCCTTGAGTCGATAATAATTTCAATGGTTGCGTAAATTCCGAAATAAATAAAATGTTGGAATGGCATTGAAAATAGAAAATAAAAAAAATCACATCAAACCCGAACAACGATGACAGTTTAGTTGGATGAGAGGTCACAAATTAAATGCATTTTTATTTTAAAAGCATTCTTATGATTTTACTAGTTTAATTTTCATTTATTTATTTGATTTCTAAAGTTCTTGTTTCTTATGAAGAAGCTACGTTTAAAAAATAATAAAAACATTTACTTATGAGTTAATTAAGCAGCCAATAGTCAATAATTACATTTTAGTTACGAAGTATCCGCACATGGTATGCCAAAATCTTTAAAACATGATTCCAACTAGAACGATGTTGATATAAAAGAACATTGGCACGGAAGCATGATAATTATGTTTTGATAACACAAATAATTGACTTCATGTGATTTTAACCTATGACCACATATCTTGGTATATCGGGTTATTCTAACTAAATACTCTACCACAAAAATGAAAACTGTTTTCCTGTCTGCAAGAAAGAGAGCAGTCATGAGCTGGAATTGTGTAGAAAATAAGACACATTGCTTAATCGGTTACTAAGTTTTGCTGAAACCAGTTACGTACACACATCAAAAAAGTTTAAGATCACTTGCAAAGGCTGATATATTTTCAAAATTTAACTTAATCAAAATAAAATGTTTACGTTGTATCTTTCTTTATCTAAAAATACACTTTCTGAAATTAAAAAACAACTAATTTTATATTTAGTATAAAAAAATAATAATTCAATCCTAAGGCGATTGTAATAGAATTTTGATAGAAATAAAAAGATAGTTTAACCTTTTATAAATTGATATTTATTTAATACAAAATAACTCCTCCTCGGGCTCGAACATATGCGGAGATCCTCCAGGGCATGCTGAAGATCAAATTATCCAGCATTTCTTGTGGTAACATGGCCCATTCTTAAACAGCAGATTCCCTGAACTGCGGCACTGTCTGGGGTGGTGGCTGCCGCCGGTTCAAACAGCTCGCTCAAGAGCATCCCACGCGTGCTCTATTGGGTTTAAGTCAGGAGAGCCGGCAGGCCACTCTAACCATGTGATTTCGTACTGTCCGAGAGCAGCATTTATTCGTTGAGCTCGATGTGCGGGCGCATTATCGTCAACCAGTACAAATTGGTGCCCATCGTTTACTCGGAAAGGTCTGACGATTCCATCAATAACGTCTGTTTTGTATCTGTCTGCCATCATGAAGCCTTGATGAGGGATTAAAGGCGCTCTAGCCCCAATCATAATACCACCCCAAAAGGACACTGATTTCCCGCCTTGCTGAACCGTTCCAGTGGCCGTTCTTTGCCTTTCAGAGTTTCCAGGTCTTCTCCAAACACGGACACGTCGGTTATCTGGATGAGTACTGATTCGCGATTCGTCAACGAAGAGGCAGTTTTGCTAAATGTTTTCCTCTTCGTCTTCTATGTTTTGCCGGAGCCTAGCCCACTGTAATCTCCGTCGCTGACGTTCCTGTGAATTCAAAGGTGCTCGCCAAGACCTCCGTGCTCGTAATCCAGTCATGTGTAAGCAATTCCGAATGGTCTCAAAGTCCTCAAGTCCGGAGGCGGCCTGTATTTCTGTTGGTCGCGGGCTATCAGCAACCTGATGGAGCTCTTCTGAGCAGCTGTCAAAACAGTTGAGCGACCGCTGCGGGGTCGATCAGCTAAATTACCCATGCCGTGGAACCTCTGCAACGTGGTTACTACACAGGATTGGGATATGGCAACTCTGCGTGCTATTTCTCTCGTAGAATAGCCTTCTTCCCTCAAAGTTACAATTCTGGCTCGCAAAATATGTGATAATCCTCGTGGTATTTTTTAAAACACTTTCTACTCACTTTCCGTAAAAAAATATTTTAAATTCGATAATATTGACTAAGTCATATTTCTGAATGAGTGTCAGCTTGGATTGCATGTCTTTTTATATGGAAAAACAATTGAATTATTTTACTGTTCTATGTTCTAATTTTTAATTTTAAAATTTAGAATCTTATCAGAAAAAGAAATTACAAAAAAGTCTTCTGTAACACAAACTCAATTTATTTTTCAAAGTGATTGCAACTTTTTTTGATGTGTGTATGTTATAGTCAAAGCAGTTTTTACAAATGTCAAAATCTAAAAAAAAATATTACGAAAAAATAATTTAACAAAATAATACACAGAATAATGGACTTGAAGAAAAATCTGCTATATTCTTAAATTACCTACCCGCTTTGGAAACCACGCCTTCAAACTAAAATATGATAGCTGCTATACAAATAGCCTATGAGTATATTATGTACTTTGAATTTTTCTGAAGCATTATCGCAATGTTGCGGAAAAGTTGTTACCGGCGCGCGATATCGTACCTAAGCTCGTTCCGAGAGATGGCAGCCCCATACAGGTAGCTCGACGAATCATTATTGACTGATGGCATCGCGAAATGATCGCGGAAGGGACCACGAAGTGTACTCTGTATCGTGTTGACATACGAACGTACAGTAATTGCAGCGGTTCGAACGCAAATAGTCATATAAAGGCTGTATCAACAGTCGTATAACGACTACCTATGCGTTTCTTCATTACCTTTCTACCGTGCAAATGTTGTCGGTGATTCGATACGGTTTTTTTTTCTGGAACCTGGTCTTATTTATATTTGAAAAATCCAACGTAATTATATATTATTTTGAAAAATAAACATTTATATAAAATGAAACACTCAAAACAGTGTAATAACAGATTCACACAACTGATATACTATGACGTTTGAATATTTTATGTAATAAATTTCGTGCATCAAATTTCATATCGGAAACGGATCAGCATCGTATCACCTACCGTCACACCAACTTGCCTTTAGCTATCTATACATAATCACATAGCAGAGCGCATCGATACCTGCGACTATGGACAGGCAATAAACAAAGCGCTTACGGCAATCCGACGCCGAACTTACAGCTAATCGCCAACTGGTGGACAACTATTCGCAGACATTCAATGAGTTTGTAAAAGAAACATAATTAAGGCGGACGACTAGACGTAAGCTGGTGGACAACGATACGTTAACGAATTGACACTATAATACTAATCAAAAAAGTCTAAGCAACATGAACTTTTGAATACTTATATTCTTTTGTCAAAATTATAACTCATTTGATTTATTAGAGATAATATAAAATATCAACTGTTAAAACTTGCAGTGTACGTAAATTATGCATGTTGCTTGTACTTCCTTGATGAGTGTATTCCCGAACCGATATAATAATGTGTATTAACATCTAACAAGGAATCACTTTGTTCTTAAAATCTTTCGAACGTAAAAACTTATAAAATATTTTTTTATACATAATGTCTATTGCAGCTACTTTCATATTTATCTTATGTTACAGTCTCGATATCCTGGGCTTTGGGACTGAGTAAAGGATCAGTGACTAAAAATATGCGGAAGCCTTGGTGGTCGTTATATCTGCTAGCTATTTGTATGCTGGGTCTAGATTCAAAACTCGTAGGTGAGTTGACTTGGGTGATATGTAGAATCTTATTTTATGTGCTTAATTTTCAATGTGAGTGTAACATTTTTGTCATACATATTCAAAAACGACCAAAATGTTTCAATTTTCTCTTCTTTTTAAACCTAGGTAACTCTTTTTATTATTTTAAACTTTCTTAATAGTAAAAGCGTTCTTTTATTATAATAATGAAGTGAGTCATTTAAGTTTTTATTTTTTTATTTTGCAAATTATCAACATCATGACATTACAGGTGAGGCATTTCAACCTGAATTTGCGGAGCCCCTTACAAACTTGACAGTGCCAGTCGGAAGAGATGCCACATTTAGATGTTTGGTGCAAAACCTTGGTGGTTATAGGGTACGTAAAATGCATGTACAATAAATTTCAAATAGAATTTCAAAGATTGAACACGGTGTTAAGGTAGGGTTTCGCATTGCGTGACGTTATGTGACTTGTGCGTGTGTGTGAATGTTTGCATGCATGCATGGTGGCACCTTTTTTCGGCTTTGGTTCTGAATTCCATGTAGTCACAATATGTCTCAGCCAATTATTTTGAAAATCAGAGAAGAAATAAAAGGAAATTTATCGAAAACACGTTTTTATTACAAAATCAAAAATTTACATGTTCTTCTTTGCAATAATTTAAATAACGAGTCATTTTTTCGTTTCAGGTAGGATGGGTAAAAGCAGATACCAAAGCAATACAAGCTATACATGTACATGTGATAACAAACAATCATAGAGTATCAGTTTCACATAACGGTCAAACTGTCTGGAATTTGCATATTCGAAACGTCCAAGAGGAGGACCGGGGACAATATATGTGTCAAATCAATACAGATCCTATGAAGAGTCAGGTAAGTTGATATCTACATTATTTTCAATTTGATGTAAAAGCACTCCACTCGGTTCCTCCACTTGTGATTTCTTGAGCATCATATTGTTCACTCTTTCTTTTCATAATAATTTTGTTTTTCCTAGAGTAGCCATATATCCTGACTTGTCTGTACAAAAACTCTCTTGTCATTATTTCTGGTACAAACATTTTTCTACTTTTAAATAAAACGTGGTCTATAGGACCCCAGTTTTCGGTAGGCAAAAAAGCATTGCGTATGCTACCAGATCGTAAACTTAATGCGAGATGGATAATAATGTTAGAAATTACTATAAGAATGTAAATGCCTATAATAATATAAACAATTAAAATATCATGATTCAAATCAATAGCATCAATTATGATTGTTTCATCAAAGTCCTGTGTTTCTAATGTTACCAATTTTGTATACAACATACATAGGATTAGGATTGGACTAAATATCCAAGTTATTTTCCAAAAATAGCTAGCTTTTATACCAATCATAAATATTATATCAACATTGTGCTTATTGTAACCGTACACCCAGTATAAAGATATAGCAAACATAAGACTACTTAATATTTGGATAATTTCGATGGCACTCAAAAAAGTCCCAGTAATATCTGAACAAAATAATGGCCAAGAAAATAGGGACAAAACAAATGTTAATATCACATTTGCAACGGTAGTATGATTACGTGTGAAGGTAATACTGTCAATGATCATGCTTTTCAAGAAAGTGTGTAGAATCCATAAGTTAACTAAAAGACACAGAAACGTAGATGAAAACCAAGCAAATCCCCAAATAGGAGTTTGATCGAAATAGCTGAGTATTTCCGATGTAGAAGCAAACTGTAGAAAAAATCTACTGAAGCCGAATTCAATTACGTTTTCTTCTTCACCGTGATAGTAGGACATAGTTTTTATTCCACTGAATATAATAAGACTATACATACTAGTTACAAATGCTGCTAGTAATGATGTTGATATCGCTGTCATTGTAGCTGGACTACGGAACGGAACGTCTTTTGACAAAAATCCAATAACACCATAACCTGTTCCAATAGAAAGAAATCCAGAAACTACAGAGTTAAAACTATTTTCAAAAGAATACCTGCTCCAATCTATATAAACTTTTGTTGCATACCATGCTCCACTTGTAGACAGCACTACTGATAATAACACTAAAATTGTAATGCATAGGTAAATAGCTAACAATTTTACAATTATTTGAATTAATTTATTTTTTTTCAGTGATAATATAATTAAAATACAGCTGACTGTACTACTTAAAATGATTGATTTCCATGAAAACATACAAAACAGTGAATTTAATGTATTATTTCGACCGATTTCGCGTTCAAAAAAGCAGTTGCTTGCTGTTTTGACACCACAATCGTCATCAAATAACATTTGAGCTTCTAAACAATGTTGATATACAGACACATTAATGCGTTTAACCATACATTTGGTGGTGTTAAAGTCATCGCACGAGTACCATGGTGGCGGATCCAGAGCAGCATGAAAAGTGTATTCCAGATACCATGACGTCAATACCATCAGATAAACATATTTAATAAGTGCTAAATAAATTGAACCGTACCCAACAGATCGAAACATCGGGAAGAAATTCCATAATGAAATTACTCCTCCGTTTGTATACTGTGCCAAACATATTTCCGAGTATGCCAATGGAATTCCAATGACTATCACCCCAAATATATGCAGCGCCAAGTGAATATAAAATCCGGTGTGCGATATCGCAGTAACTGCTACAGAAATTGTCACTTCATTTAACATCCATGCCCAGATAACAAGCCTATAGTTTTTGTATGTCTCCCACCTAGATTCTTCTTGTGATGGATAGTATTTTACACTAAATTCAACTGTTTCGATATCTGACATTGTATTTTTTCGCTGTTTAGTTCTAATTACTGAAACATGACCAACTGGATTAGATTTGACATATTGCATCTATTAATTTCCGTCATTGTCTTAATTTGGGAATAGATGGGAGGTCAAAGGAGAATGGCGTCATATCAATAACGAATTAACCGGCAGTTACGTTAAACATTTTGGTAGATAAAGTGAATTAAACTGCAGGACGAGGAATGAGCGCAGCGGGTAATGATTCGTGCATGGTGCCCCTAAATTATTGCGCTTCGGTGTAATTTATATGCGGGCCTGATAACGGCATAAATCGCGCTCGGTGACAGCGCTCAACGTTTTGACGGTGACGTCGCACGTCCACGCGGCATGACGCCAAAAGTACTCCATAGGGTATCAAAAATTCATGCGTTTTAGAATCTCTTATTTTTGATAAGTTTTACGAATAACAACTAATATTTAAGATAAATCGAAATGTCTATTCGGTATATTAATATTTCAGATGGGATTTTTAGAAGTGGTTATTCCACCTGACTTCATAGCTGAAGAAACATCAGGAGATGTTATGGTGCCTGAGGGCGGAACAGTAAAAGTATCCTGTCATGCTAGGGGAATGCCTGCACCAAGGATCTTATGGAGAAGGGAAGACGGCACTGATATAGTCATAAGAGATAGCCACGGAAGTAAGAAAAAAGGTAAGACCTCAAAAAAGTGTTCATGATGAAATTTCATCATTGCGTCTCAGCAGCGTCTGATGAATGTTGACATTTGAAAATATTCTAAATTCAATCTAAAGTTTTTTTCTTGAGCAAAAAACTTTCGCAATGGTCGGTCATTGAATGGGTGACCAAAAACTTATTATATCGAGCTTCTCCTTGCTTGAGCCGTTTGTCCAGGCTACATCTATAATCGTTAGCACCAAACAATCCACACTAGGCCCGTCACGACCCTATCTTCCTATTCCATCCATAGGGGAAGTCTATACGCTATTGACGACCTCCGTGGCCGAGTTGTTTGTACGCCGGGTTACATGGTGTCGCCGACTCGAGAGGTCCCGGGTTCAAATCCCGGTGGGGGCAGATGTTTGTGTGACGAATATGTGCATTTGTACTCCAGTCATGGATGTTTAATATGTATTACTATATAAATATACTTATATGTATTCTATCCGTTACCCTAGTATACCATAACACAAGCCTTACAGTGCTTACTTTGGGGCTACGCTAATTGGTGTGAGTGTTAGAAATCACCGAAGAATCCACACTAGGTCCGTGTAGTGGGTTACGGCCCAAGTTCCCTTTTAAGGAAGGTCTATTCGCCAGCAGTGGGGACATAGGCTAATGATGAAAAAACCGTTAGCAATGAAATTGAAGTCAGTATTTACAATATTAATAAGCCGGTTTTCTATTAAAATATAGATAGAAATAATATTTAAATATTTTTGGCACAGTTCAGATGTACGAAGAAGAGACATTGACTATGACTAAGATATCTCGTTCTGACATGGGAGCTTACCTATGCATCGCAAGCAACGGAGTACCCCCCTCAGTCAGTATGAGGATACAGATTAAAGTTCACTGTGAGTATTATCGAGCTATTTTAAAAAGTACAAATTCTAATTTTTAAATTTGAAAACATTATTATAACAAGTTCGTACGTACCTGTGTTGAGTTTTTACGATTATTAAAAACTTTTAGTATCAAGTATACTGTAATACAAAAATTTAATCTCGTCAAATTTCATGAAGATCTTTCCTATTACAAAGACACCAAGCTTTCATCTGTTGCTTTTATTATACTCGTACGTATCCCTCTTAGGGAAACAAACAAATGCTTACTTTATTAGCGAGATGCCTAAAGATTTATCATTCGCATCGGTCGAAATGAGTCTCCACCTCCCTAATATTTTTGGGAAACAAAGACTTTTTTCGGAGCTAATTCAGAAGGCGAAATAGATTCCCCGCAAATTCATTGTAATTGTTGTTTATCTCGGCAACTTTCAGAGCTGCGTTGTTATTAATGGTGTTATTTAATGTCAGCAAGTAGTAGCTTTTAATTATTTTCAGCCTGTTAGGGTCTGTTTGTGTCTCCACGTCTACTGAAATGTATATTTAGTTCTTCTGGTTATATTTAACCAGATATATAAGTGGATATTCTAATTTCAAAAAAGAAATTATTATTTTTACCTTTACCGTGGGGTACCTATAAAGTTAAGCGCCGTGTTCATAGTTATAACCGCAAAAAAAAACATTTAACTTCAAACAAAAATCTATCTTATTTTATTAATACTTTTAGTTTATTATTTTTACAAGAAATTTACTACCTTAATTTTAGTAAGTAGCAATATTTTTTAATATAATTATTAAATTTAAAAGGGGCACCCATTACATTTTACTATTCACCTCTATCTTACCGCTTTGACCTACTAGCTGTACCACAGTTACTTTTACCCCGTTGTCCCACTATGGGTCTAGGGGTAATCAAATTGGGTAAGGCTACATAAATAAAGGTTGAAATAATTAAAGTCCTTGAATTGAAAAAAAAATATTTTTGTTAGGAAATACTGTACAGGGCACAAAAAAGTAACTATTATGTATCTTAATTTATTATATTAGTTCATCCAGTCATACAAGTGCCGAACCAGCTTGTGGGAGCTCCTCTGGGCACCGACGTCACACTCGAGTGCTACGTCGAGTCATCGCCAAAGTCCATCAACTATTGGGTCAGAGATTCAAGTAAGTGTAGTGTTTTTAACTTATATACCTATTGATGAATAATTTTAGGATAGCTGATAACTCAGGTATAAATATTTTGCAGCAACACATACAACCTCATAGCTACCACAATCATCTAGATCCGAGACAATATAGAAAAATAATACCAGAAAAAATCGACTCAGGCAGGATGGAATCTTGCCTGATACCTGAACCGAGTAAATGTTATTAGTTTTTCCAGTAAAACTTCTTTTAGTATCATAATATATAGAAAAATCTATCTATCTGGCAATCCTCAGCCAGACTTTAACGCGGGGAGATGGTGATATCATTGAAACTCAAGTGCAAGCCACTCGACTATGTAGGGCAAGGATGGGCAAACTACAGCACGTGGGGCATCTCCGGCCCTCGAATGGTTGGTTGAATTCCGGTCCGCGACCATCAAACAAAAATCGAAGCCAAATGAATGAAATGAAATAATAATGAATATATTTATATTGAAAGGCGGTTGCAGTACATTGGTTGCATAGTACGCTATCAAGCCAGATTGATCGACTTCAAAAGCCCTCCAATTTACAACGAGAGTGGCCTCACTTGCGACCCAAAAATTGCCACGTACTTTAATATTCTAATTATAAAATAATCAAAACTTCGGCTAACAACTTACAATTTTCTTGAAAAACCTCTGCTTCGTTATAATACAAATCATTATTTATTATATTTTTTTTTCTGTTCTTGATTTTTGCAGGGTCGTTTGTTTTTTTATATTTATTTTAATAGCTTTACGTGTAGCATCAATGATTGGAATTTGAGTACATTTCCCGAACTACATTTTCAAAGTGTAAGTCGAACAACTTCACAAAAAAGTCAAAAGATAGACTTAATTTAACTAGTTGACAATTTTTTTGAAACTGCTTCCAATAATATTAACGTACATATTTCTGTAAATTTTTTTTTCATTTATTTGCACTTATAAATTCAGCCTCCTAACCCTAGCTTAATCTTATACTCGAGATTTGGGACTAGAAATAAATAGGCGTTAAAATGCAAACAGAGGAACCCAACGACGTGGATATCATTATAATTACGAGCGGGATATTTTTCTCTGCTCAACTCATTTCTGAACCAGCGGGCTGTTTCAAATTGGTAGAATTTTTTTGGCAACGACCGAATGGGTGGACTCGCGTTTTGCAAGTAATGAGATATTAACTTTTAATTTACGGGTGCCATTGGATTCATAAGGAAATTGACCTATTGTGAGTAAAGACAATGGCCGTTAGTTCCATTTGAACGGACGTCGTCTTGGCGCTGAGTGTGACCAACAATGCTCTTTATAATTTATCTCCTGCGGATGTGCGATATTGCCTACAGCAACCTCTTTTATTAGTCTTTCGAGGGTACCCAGATATTTTACAGCTCGGATAAGCATAATATGTTTTAACGTTAACGCAAAGAGAATGTCGTGATTGTAAGCCGTACGTCGACTGACAGAATATCATTGTGGAAAGATATTGCCGTTCGGATTTTACCTTTTAATTCTTAATCTTTTGTATATAGTCAAAAGATTCATGATCTCAGATCTGTTTCTTATTCTTGAACATTTTATTTTTCTTTGTCTTAATTGTTATAATTTTAAAATAATAATATATCTCCCAAATCATATTATACTTTAAATCATTGTATGGAACTCGATGGCGAAAGTGGTGCGCGCGTTCGGCTGCGATCGTTGAAGTTAAGCAACTTTCGCAATGGTCAGTCATTGGATGGATTGATGATTTTGATGGATGGATGACCGAAAATTTACAATCTCTAGCTTCTTCGCGCTTCGGAAGGTTAAGCCGTTGATTCCGGATGTATCTGCAGTCGTTTAATATTTAAAAATTCGCACTGTGTCCGCATGGTGGGTCATGGCCGCCCAATATGTTCCTATTCCATAAAGAAGGCCTGTGCCCCAATAGTGGGGACATTAATAGACCGATGAAAATGAATAAAATAATAATTTATGGTGATGTATTATTACACTATCATAAATAAATTTCATCATTACCGTTAAAAACTATTAAAAAGGAGACTGGACGAAAGTGGTCCAAGAACGAATACAGATATCGTTGTGGTATTTAAGTAAAGGAATCTCAACTTCACTTAAATATAAAGTAGCATTAAAATCTGACCCGGCAGTTTTCGGAAAAATCACACTTTACAATAAGTACATAGGTATTTATCCTGACAAGGAACCCTTTTAGTTTCGTCATGTCCGTCTGTCTGTCCGCCTCGGGATTTGCATAGAGACTGTTAGCACAAGAGAGCTGTAATTTTATGGAGATATGTATATAACAAAATGGTAGAATTCTTTTTTAAAATAATTTTTAAGGCTTTTATGAACTTTTAAGGAAAATTATAATGGTTAAAATAGATTACTTGGTTAACGAGCAATAGTCGTTCAATTTTATGGCACTCACTTAATATAGTTTGTAGAGGGTTTTCATTTCTATCTAGGAACTAAGGCAGAGATTTAAATTAGCATTCATGTAGCATCCATATACTTCTACGTGTAATACATCAGCTATATGGAACATAAATCAAAGTCTTGATGCACGTCTGCTTCTGACGACGACACAGTCAAATAAAGGCAAGTGATCATTATACATCGTGTGAATACAACGTTACTCGGGCACGAAATGTTCGTTTATTCAACTGATGAATCCATATTTTATTCATATTGCCACGGTATGAGGTGAGGGCTCCCATCTTATGCTTGCACGGGTTTCGTATGGAACTCTTTATACACTGGGAATGTGTAGATCGATCGTTACCTTATTTAGCGGCATATCTTCGCATCTTATCACTACGAGGTTGCCAGACCTTCAAAGGTCCAATCCAATCTTGCAAGTTAAATTTTGACTCACTTTTCGGTTTCCGATTGAGCTGCAATTTTGCATATGTGTAACGCGTAACAATGAAATTTTATGATGACATGGCAGCTCTATTTCTCTCCAACGATGAAGCTGGAAGGTGGCCGTAAGATTTATTGATTAACAAAAATATCAAAACCTGGCAAAAATTACCAAAATGAGAAGATAAGAAACTACTAAGCCAACTGCAGGTTTTCACTGAAAAACAAAAATGTTGTCTTAATTATTAGAGTATCGATATTTCATTTTCAGACGCTTTATTTCCGTTTGTTGAAGAAGTTGTTCCTACTATAATAAAAATTACCGGCATGCATTGCGAGGACATTTAATAATAATAATTACAATCTCCAATTGAGATTTTCTTTGTCCAATATGCAACTGTGCATAGAAACAGTACCTCGGGTTTAATAATCGAGATCTTCACGAACAGTCTTGGTCGTATTCTGTCGCATAAAGCTCAATATTCCAATAACGTTGAAAAGTAGAATCATTACGGTTCGAAAACTATGATAAAAGTTCACGTGTGCTAGAGAAGAATCCATTATGATACATGATTTTTAATGAAACTGGAACAAGGAATCTTACTTCAATTACATCAAATAAAACATGACAAAACCTTCATATTGAATTGATGCATTCTTCGCATATAATACTTCCACGTAACGCTGACATTTAGAGAATTATTGTAAATAGTTTAAAAGTTTTTATATGTTGAAATCGAGAGAAGGTTTTTTGGGTTCGATTCCTAGAATATAATATATTATTATTTAGTAAAGGGTATCCGAGGAGCTTGATGGCGCAAGTGGTTAGCGCGATCAGCTGCGATCGTTGAAGCTATGCAACTTTCGCAGTGGTCGGTCATTGGATGGGTGACCAAAAATTTACTGTCTCGAGTTCCTCCGTGCTTCGGCAGGCACGTTAAGTCGTTGGTCCCGGCTGCATCTGCAGTCGTTAGCACCCACCAATCCGCACTGGACCAGCGTGGTGGGTCATGGCCAAATCTCCCTATTCCATCCATAGGGAAGGCCTGTGCCCCAGCAGTGGGGACATTAATAGGCTGATGATGATGATGATGATGAAAGGGTATCTTCAATTTTGTTTTTATTTCAACCGCAGATTATTTTAAGCAACTACTTAAACATTGTTAGGTTAGTTACAAAACCATGCCACCGTCTGTCTCGGCAGCGTGTACCATGAAAAAATTGTAATCCCTTGAGAAACTTTTGGAGTATTCGGCCGGAGCCGGCGTCATTTAGGAATGAAGTAAATTACAACTTACTTCACGCGCTATTAATTATATTTAAAAAAAAACTGGCCTCAGTTAATATTTGTTTTAACATGGTTTCATATAATAACCTTTATACAGTGACATGGTAACAAAGGGTTTAAACAATCATACAAAAAGCACTTAACAAATACAACTCTCGTAACTAATCATACATTCCAACATTATTAACCAACAATTTTAGATGCAGCTATACAGATAACGTCTATTCTTCAACTTCCATCGACAGCTGGCAAAACTCGTTTAAAGAACACGTTCATAACATATTAGCAGTGAATTTGTACTACAAACTTGTTGAGATTTTCAAATAACTGCTCCACTCGCACTCGAAAAACAAGAAGTAATGAGCTGGATACAATACTAGGTAACCTCCCCCCTCCCCCCTCCACGGCCGTCGGCGGTTTCGCAAAGTTCTACTCGGCAGTTGTCGCGTGAAATTTACGGGTTAATTTTCAATGGGGACCGAGTTTTGAGGCTCTGGAAAATTTAAGTTCCACATTATGCTTGGCGCTCATTCGAAATGGAGGATACGTGACGTCATAAAAGATCGAAACGGTGAAACATAAATATGCGAGGCGTCATATAATAAAACCTTAAATCCTTTACCTATTCTTTGTCTTGGAAAATAATATGGAAATCTAATTTTATTTAAGTTTAAAAGTACATTTTCACCTATAATATTTCATTTTTTAATATTTATTATTAATTACAGCAAGTTTATATACAAATATAAACTTGCTTTAATATTCTTTTTTGTTTTAAGTCGTTAAATCTATATTGTCCACAAGCTTTTACAAAATTTTAGAGGTTGTCGCAGCTATCTATTGATTCAAGAATCTACAGCTATACAGAGCGGACACGTACTGAAAAAGCTTCATAGGACGCACAAAGAAAATCCGGAAGTAGTCACTCAAATTGATAATATTTAAAATTTTATTTTTTTAAATGCTCAAACAAACTTGCCTAAGTGAAGTTCCATCTGAACTGTCCTGTTATCGCCGAAGAGATTTATTTTTATTTGCTTTGTAGTACCGCCAGTACAACCAGTCAGTCCGCACACAGTTTAGAACGTAGTAAAAAAAAGTCAGAAATAACCCCTCACTTCACCACGCCCCGCCGCCGCTGCTCGTCGGTTCGATACTCATATATTTTAGAAAATAAGAGAAAACATTGACGATGTTATCCAATATAACCAGGGGGTAAAAAATATTAGGGTGGGCAGGATCCTAAATCTATTAGGCGATAACGTTATAATTCAGACGAACTTCACTTAGGTAAGTTCGTTTGATCATTATAATATCCTGTTATCGCCTCTGAGATTTATTTTTCTGTACTATGTAGATTTTCAGACAGTAAAAGTCAATGTTGTTTAGAAATAAATATCCTGATAAAAAAAATCCTGAAAAAATGTTACGTTACTGGGGAATTAACGTGGATGAGGTCGCGGGCGGCCGCTATTAATTTACAAAATTCTAGAGTTCCCTGCGATTTCACCTACGATAATTTAAAGAAAATGTTTATAATGAGCTAACTTTAAACTTTTTTGGAACTATTAGATAGAGAGAAACAATTCCTATGTAGGTACATAAGTTTTGTGTGACTTGAACCGTTTAAAGCTTTACTTTACTCAACTGGAATATTTTTCTTCATTTTTGCTAAATTTTATCTATGCTCCGCTCCTATTGGTCATAGTGTGATTTAAATTATAGCCTTCCCCAATAAATGGACTATTTTAAACAAAAATATGTTTTGAGTAGTTTCTATGATTAGAGCGTTCAAAAAAACAAAGAAACTCTTCACATTTATAATACTATAGTATAGATACGAATCTGAAAGTATCCATACTGTCTGTCTGTCGATTTCCAGCCATTTCAGTATTTCTGGAACAAGTAGCATCTTATTCAATATACGATATTGGTTTTCCTAAGTAGAAACCACGATTTCGGGGATTTCTATTCTCATCACTGCATTTGTATGCAGTGTGACACAATTGGAAATGTCTATAGTTTCACGAATGCGAGGTATTACATTTTACCCCAAGTTATATTGCACAATGCATTACCGGGAAAGATACGTAACCATAACTTGAAAGGTTGACAATGGCACTAAGCGCTGTTGTCACCCGCGGACCTAATTATTAGTAATTCTTAGTAGTATTTCTTAGGCTGCAAGGCAATGTTTAAATACCTTAAAAGGAATGTTTAATACTTCTAAAAATATTCGTTTGAAATTGTGGGTTACCTAGCTATAGCTGGCTATAGCGCTACCATGCCGTCTAAGAAATACTAGAAAGAATTCGACACGGACATTGGGGCCACGGTAGCATAATGGTCGGTGCATCCGCCAGGATAGAGGAGGGTGCGGGTTTGAGTCCCATCTGCTGCATGGTTCGCTTGGATTCTTTTTCTTTTATTTTTTCTAGCGGATTTCAAAGGACATTTATTTACTTTGATAAAATAACACGTATAGCAGCACTGGTGACTATAATACATATATGACAATTCCAAAATCTAAGTAATGATAATTTTTATGCAATAATACTTACCGAGCAGTCGGTGTCACAATAAAACGTCTGGTCTAGCCATCCCCCAGATCCGGCGCTAATTATTAAAACGCATTAAGGACTCGAGTTGTAAAACGCGCCTGTGTTATGATCCGTGGTGTGTATTGTAGAGGCTTTGTTTGCCAACTTATGAAGTGAAGTGACTGGCGCTTTTGACATACCGCCAGCCAGCCTAAAAGGGCACAGCACAGTATCGTCATTTTCGTTTGTCATCAATCTATGTTAGGCCGGCTGACATGTAAGTGTTAATTAACCAGCCCTCACTCGAGCGTAATTAAGAGTGTTACAGTGTTATTTTAGACATTAATTGAGATGAAATTTCTTGTTATAATGAAGGGAGGCTCGGGAGGTCGAGTAATTTCGCGAGAAAGCCAAAAATCTTTGCTGCACGTGCCTAAGTTGAATGAGATCAAACCGAAATTTAATTTCGTTCATTCACCGCATATAAATAATATATATATAATTGCGTCAATGGTGCTCTGTTTCCCATTTCAAAACTGTTGCAAAAAAGCATGTCTTGCTTGAATTTTAGCGGCTGGCATTACTTACTCCCTTATGACATTAAGACAAATTACCCAGCCTAATTTCATCTGATATCTCGTTAAGCTATTGATTTACTAGAAATAGTACTTCTCCAGTAGACTAGAATTCGCTGCGTTCTGCTAGTTACAAACATCATTTTTTTTTGCTTAAAAATAATACCTGTTAAGGATATTTTTGGTTAACAGTTTTAAACATAACAATAGTTAATGCTATATTAAACAAAATATTTAGATAGAACAGTTGTTGATTCAAAATACTGTAAAAAATAATTGCTATTGGGGTGATGCGCGAAATAAGCTGGTTGGAAATAGCAGTACTCTCTGTAAACCGTTGTTATTGCTTCCTATAACAGGCTAGAATAAAGCTACTATTTACACAGTACACCCCGCCTGCAACTTTGGTTTTATAAGAAGGCAGCCTTTCGCCTAGTCGCTTTATCATTCGGGGACAACAACCACTTGGCTCGAACAGGCGAGCCGAGTGCTTAGTTATCGATAGAAGGATTGTTTGGCCCCGCTAAGGTGAAGGAAATGAGGCTGTGCGGCTTCTTTGAAAAATAGCTTTTATTTTACATTGATATGAGAATTAACTGAAGTGTTTTCTGTTTAAAACTGCAAATGAAATAATCTTCACTAATTTCACAAGAAAGAAAGAAATTATTATATAAATTTATATATCTAGATGACTATAACTTAGGCCCTAACTTGCATGAAAATTGTTAATTCAAATTAAGGATTAATCTTGTTTAACATATCATTCATATTTATCAATTATTTAAAATAAAATAAAACATAGAATAAGGCTTAAACTCCATTAGCTTATAGAATTAAGAACTTTGGTGTAAGTGCCTTAGAGTTATTCAACTCAAATTAACATTGAAGGTTTTTCCTGTTTCCGAGTTTCGTTAAAATATAAAACGAGATTTCAGGCTGTGATCAAATATCTATTAAACAATAGTATTCATTTTATTCTTTGAATTCTGATGAGCTCAACATCCACACAGTGAGTTCTTGTAAAATGTTTGTATGTACTTTTTATTAGCTGTGTTGTTCCATCCTTAGTTAATTTAACTAGGTATAGTAAAAAACTAGAGAAAATAATAACCATTTGATATAATTGGACACATTTACTATATATTTAGAACGACCTCCGTGGCTGAGTAGTTTGTACGCCGAGTTTCATGATGTCGCCGACTCGAAAGGTCCCGGGTTCAAGTCCCGGTGGGGGTAGATGTTTGTGTGATGAATACGAGCATTTGTACTCAAGTCATGGATGTTTAATATGTATTTCTATTAAAAATATACTTATATACGTACAGTATATGTATTCTATCTATCCGTTATCCTTTTTTTTTAACGATGGGAAATGTTTTACGCATACCCCGCGCTTTGGGGTACGCGGGGTTATGTCGGACTCTCAGCGGCTTCTGGGGGCAGACAGAATGCCCTCCAGAAGGTGCCTCCGCGGCCTACCGACTAAAACCCACCGTTGCCCCTCACATACGCCTTGGCGCGAGTATGTCCATCACCGCTGCATCCTCATCGTCTTCTGACGAGGAGGACACGTCGGGGAGGGACGCGTCGCTGCCGGACAAGGTCATGGGAACTCATGAGAACACATCCACGACCTCGTCGGCGTCTGCTCGCCTATGGCGAGCCCCACTCACCCCCCCAAAAAGGGAGGACTGTTGATCCCCCGGAGCATCCAGGGGATCAGCGACTGGCGGCAGCCGGTGCGATACAGGGCCCGGGCTCCCCGGGCCTGGACCCCGCTGGTTACCGTCAGGAGGAAGTAGGCGGGCGTACATCCGCCTTCTCCGCCCCATCCTTCGTCGGGTCTATCCGTTACCTTAGTATCCCATAACACAAGCCTTATAGTGCTTACTTTGGGGCTAGGCTAATTGGTGTGAGTTTTGGAAATATTTATTTTATTTTTATTTATTTATTTAACGTCACATTAACTATAATAAAATTTAACTATAAATGGAAAACGCTGCCTGGAGTAAATTCAACCAAAATTTTAACTGTCATTATGTTCAAACATTATTCCGAATATTGAGAGAAAAGTTTTACGTATTTACGTACGTATATACGCAATCTAAGTTTTTGAATAAAGCAGTTTAATGATTAAAATTAAACGATATTCATGTTTTACAACTTTTTAAATTCCAACAGATGAGATGCTAATATCCTCGTCGAAGTACGAGGTGCTTAACACGGTGATCAGCTCCTTTGAGAGCCGCATGGCAGTCACCATAAGGAAGTTGACTGCGGAAGACGCCGGTGGCTACCGGTGTGTCGCTAAGAACTCGCTCGGCGAGGTAGACAGCGTTATCAGGCTTTACGGTAAGTTATAGTTATATGACGAAATAGAAAGTACAGAAGGAAGGTAAATCTCATGTATGTACTTCACTTTTTATACCTACGCTCGGCGGTCGCGTTAGGATTGTCAACTTTGGCTTGTACACTAAAAATCGTGATAGTAGCATTCCTACGTATCCAGTTGCTTGATTTATTATTTAGAACAAAATAGAAAGAATGAAAATACATATCAATAGTAACTAAAGTATTTTGATTCAATGATATTTTTATACTAGGTACAAATTTAAATAACGTACGGCCAAGTGCGTGTTGTGCCACGCGCAGTGTAGGGTTCCGTAGTTGCTCGTCAACACCACAATATACTTTGGAAAGAGTCTTTATTTTAAGCAATTACTGCGTCTAAGTCACTTTTAATGTTTTCTTCGAAGGAATTTTTATTAGGTCAGAAATTTTCTAATTCATATTTGGCAAATGGATCCCTAAATCGAAAAATAGTCTTTGGAACCCCTGGATGATGAAAAACAAATCATCAGCTACCCCATCGTGTGGAATATCGTTAAATAGGTCCTTTAAAATTGGTTAGGGGTTCCTAAGACTATTTTTCAATTTAGGGATCCGTTCATGAAATAGGTACTGAACTTTAATCAGGTTATATGAAAACATATTTTTCAAAATGTTATTCAACCATTTTGTCGGCATGTTCGATTTACAGATCGCCACAATGACAGCTCTCTAGTGCTTGTATCGTCTCCAAGCAAAACTGGGGACGGACATGACGAAAGTGTAAGGGTTACTTGTCTTCTGATAAGCAAATCCCTAAAAAACTACAATAATCACCGTTAAATGTTGAATTCAAACAACCTTCCACTGAATTATTTTATCTTCTATTTGTTACTCCATTTTTGCACAAAAAAGTATATAGACGCGTGTATCAAGCAGGTAGAACTCGCGCTGGCACTTGTCCCAAGCGATCCGAAATATCGTGTCCGTGATCGGTGTCTATGCATGCGTTGCTCGAGGGCACTTTGAATGTAGATTACCTTCTGTGCCATATATTTTGAGGTTATACCGCGAGACATTTTTCATGTTTGCACATCATGTACGAGCAACTATGACTTAGCTATTCAGGCGTAGTACAGAAACATGTGATTTCCTTGAAAGCGTCCATTTTTCCACGATGAAATGTTTGTAATGAAAAATGCTTAAGCTACTAACTGCATGCATTTAAATGCATTATGCTTGATTCTGTAAACGTACAAGGCAATTAATAAATTTCAACAAGAAATATGAAAATAATCTTCTAGCTGGTTAGTTTAATACCTAGGCATATATATGTAGGTGCTATTGTACCTTCACAGATACAAATAATGCTAACAATATTTGAACTAATTAATGAAATAATTATCTATGTTGATGGAGCATCTGAAGTTTGATGTCGTATAATATTGTTAGAATCTGTGTGTGAGTGTGCCTTTCTCTCTCTCAATATGTGAACGATGAAACATTATCTTGAGCTAATGAAGTGTAATTTCAGACACCGAATTATGCACATTATTACTAATATTATAACAATCAATAAAGCGTTATAGAATTATTACACGCTATAAAGGAAACGGTATTTAATGTCTAGTAAGTAATATGTCGTATAGCGCAACTTAAAGTGGATAATCACTTTAAGATGCTTGTTATTCAGTGTTTTCATTTCAAAATTATTGTTATTTGCATGCTGGTCTGGAAGTAAATGTCAACGATTAGAGAGATTGTTAATTCTTTGAAACAGCGGCAATAAAAATACATAGTATTCAAAATTTAATTATTATTTAATACCAACTACAGTTCATGAGATACAATCCGCTTACTGAAGCACAGACAGCAAAGACTTAGTAGTAGTAAAGAAAGCCTTATAGGCCTTTAGCTACTGGACCCTAAAAGCATCAAATTAATTGAACCCAAGTCCCTATATTGTAGAATTTGATAAAGTTGTTTTATTTTTGTTTGGAAATATTCTACTAAGTACGAAAATCGAACAAAGTCTTTAATGTTATGAAAATAGTTTTTATATCACTAAGAATAAATTTTATTCATAAATTTCACTTGAAGTTGAATTTGTTGTAACTTTTACGTAACCATATTATATTTGAATGATTTGATTTATTGTCACAGAAATTCCCGGATCGACCGTGAAGAACACGACACCTGCAGTCAGAAATGAAGATTACAAGTATTCGACACCTATGGAAGGACCTGATAATCAGTTTGGTTCTGCTGACCGATCTGATGATGAAGATGAAAGGGAACTAGACGAAGTGTCTTCTAAGCCGACGAACGAACACAGTGTACACAATTCAACAAAGAATAGAACGCACAACGGCGATGCCGTCAAAAGATTAATAAATATGATAGAAAAAGAAAAAAGAAACTTCGCAATAAGTAGTGCTGGGGAATTAAGCTTTAAAGTTGTAGATACTCGTATTTTTATAATAGCGTTTATTTCATTATATGTTGTTACTTAACTAGTAATATTTAAGTTCATTAATATTACCTCCATATGCTCGTTTATAAGTAGAATTTCAATGGGAATGTCGTCTCATTAAAGATACCGCGAAAAGTTATGAAACATTACAACTTTTTTTTTCTGCAGTTGTTCTTTTATAATTATTCTTATTGCGATATTTATACATTGCTATAAAAACAATACTTAGACACGGTTATCGTATTCAACTAAGAAATTTAAATTTGCAATCCTACTACTATTATACATGTTATAGTTTGTATGTTTCTTACTCAATCTTAAAAACACCTAACGGGTTTGGATGTTTGTTACGCTTACAGTTGATGACCTGGATTGAGACATCGGATACTTATATCTCGAAAAAATGTAAGAGGACTGTGGAAACCTCAAAAAACAAAACAACGGACGAAGCCGCAGGCGGCTGCTGGTTTTAACTAATATCATAAATACGTAAAATTTGAAAGAATGATCTCTCGAACTGCTCAACTGATTTTGAAAATTAATTCATCAGTAGAAATCTAAATTATTCCTGAGTGATATTGGTTTTATTTTGTCGCGTTATTAAAATCTTCATCCGTGTAAATGTCGCAAAGGTCACTGCTATTATATTATGTATATGAAAATTATATCCATTCGTGAACTCATTATATTAAATATCGCGAAAGTATCTTTAAATTGATATTGATGAACGAGTTCCGTGGCACAAAATTAATATAAAGTATGATCAGTATCACGGCCATTATCCATATTACTTGCAATATTAGACAGTTCAAACTGTTATAGGTGCTATGTAGTAATCTGTGGCGCATTATAAACTTGTTGCATCAGAGCATTTTATGAATATTCATTATTTTTACATATTAATGTAGCTATTTTGTACAAATAAAGTGATTTTAACGTAATTTATAAACCAATATTAATAATTTACATTGTAATATGATTATTAACTGTATATTTTGTAGTTTTATGTAAGTGTAAGTGATGTATATATGAAATATTATATCAAGTTAAATGTGATATAGACATTATTATAATAAATTATACAATATTCGTCGACTGAATAGAGGCAATAAATATTCTCTATTTGCGTGTTATTAATATTCATAATTATATTGAAATGGTTTTATATACTTAAACTAAATTTTCTTTTCCTTACTTCTTGACTAGAAAAAACTGATATAAATGATTTCAAACCCTTTTAAGGAATATTATCGTGAAATTTAAAAGAATGATGACGGGGTAATGTAAATTCTATTTAGTTCGTTAGTTAGGTCATCAAAAAATTATGGTTTTATGTCAATCCACCAAAAAATTGCATTGATAAAGCGCATCAAGGTTTGGGAGTCAGTTCTAAGTAACAATAAAATTGTACTAAGACATGATGCTATGCGACATTTCAAATCAATATAGGTATCTCTGTAATGTTTTGATTATGTGAATAAAGAGAAAATACGTGTCCAATACTTTTTGATAATCTAACTGATAGACGAAGACAAAAAGCTAGATTTATAAATCGAAAGCGGAATAACTTATCCTGTCTAATGCCTGGTACAATGAATTAATAAATAAATAAATATTTCCAACTCTCACACCAATAAGCCTAGCCTCAAAGGATAATATGGTAACGGATAGAATACATAATACTGTACATATATAATTATATTTATATAGAAGTACATATTAAATATCCATGACTGGCGTACAAATGCTCGTATTCATCACTCAAACATCTGCCCCCACCGGGATTCAAACCCGGGACCTCTCGAGTCGGCGACACCATGAAACCCGGCGTACAAACCACTCGGCCACGGAGGTGGTCAATGGGATTTTCTCTTGTTATTTTTTTTAAATTTTAATAATAAATAAACCAAAATGCTATATCTTCTCTCAAATGTAGAATAGTTGTTCGTTTTGACAAAAATATGCTAGAAGAAATTGTACACTTTCATAAAGATCTCGTTAGAGTAAATGGTTACGTCCACCCGGATAGCGGCAGGTGCAGATTCAAATCGTGTCTGAAAGCTGAAACAAGTGAAAATGTTTGTAATGTTTTTTTTTACGATAATAAGTGATATAGGCAATCGGATTACTTTTTACAATACACATATTAAAACATTTTTGTTTCTTGTTACCTATTAATATAAAGTAAATATTGTAATAAATTCAACGTATACTGTAAATTTGCAATAGGCAGGTAAATGCACATCTATTGAACAAAAAACATTTTGTTATAAATAACTATATTACTTATATTGAATTGATTGCAAAATAAAACGCTAATTTATGTAGTTGGAAAACTATTGTATTTTTTATAAAAAACGGTAACTAGTAAGTATATCTATGCTCCTTCCCAAATTCTTCTCAATTCATTTATTAACGGATAATATATCTTAACATATTGTTGAAATATTATATATTATCAAATATATGTATACCATTCTACCTAATAAATATTAAACATTGTAAATCAGGTATTTTTTTTATTTACCCTCTATTATGAAACTATGTTATGAAGGCGAATGCTTGTACTTTAAGATCGAGTCATATTAAAAACTTTAATAATATGCATATATGCAAATAAAATATTTTAGAACTATTGCCATATAAACAGTACCCCTAGCACGAATCAATATCGAATTCGTATCGTTTGCGAGTCCGAAATGTCATTGTCAAATGTGTACTGATTTTTAGTTCTCGTTACGTACTTTGTGCCGCTGCTGTTCAAGTTTCCATACAAAATTTGACATTGAAATTTCGGTTTGCAAACTATTCGAATTCGATAATGGTTCGTGCTAGGGGTACAGATCAATACTCTAGTTCCTTTAATTGTTGGAAAACTGAAAAAATACTTAATTGTGTGTTAATCATTTACGAGGTGAAAATCATGGACTGATTTTTATGTTAAAAGCGTATGGCCCACCACCCTTGCTATAGAGGCTTGCGATACTAAAAATAATATCACTGGCGCCATTGCCCCCCTGACCCAATCCCCTACCCCGTGCAGCCCGATGGTAAACGATCGCATTAGACTTTTGAAACATTACTATGGAGCATCTCGTACTTTACCTACTCAGGGTAGGTAAAGAACGAGATGATCTCTCGAACTGCTCAACCGATTTTGAAAATTAATTCATCAGTAGAAAGCTACATTATACCTGAGTGATGGTTTTATTTTGTCGCGTTATTAAAATCTTCATCCGTGTAAATGTCGCAAAGGTTGTTGATGAAAAATGACTTTTGAAACATTACTATGGAGCATCTCGTTCTTTATCTACCCTGATCACACCCCCTTGCCATGTTGGTATAATCGTAGCCATAGCACGCTAACAGCAGTACAAAAAAATATGGGCCAAGCGCGGGTCTGACATCGCTCAATTAGGGTTCCGTAAAATCATCTGTTTCTATTCGTCACAACATACAAAGTACATTATGAATCGGCGCTTTCAGTATTTTTTGGCAGCATCATATAAGTACTAAAATTTTACATTCTCAACTAGATTAGATTTTGAGATAGACCCCGTGACAAAAATGGTCTAAAAATGTCAACTTTTAGAATAATAGAAAGATTATATTTATGTCCTACTCATCGAGCTCTAGACAATGATATGTCACATGCTGGGGTAAAACAGCAAAATACGTCTCTTTTTCATGTATGTGACCCATGAAAAACAATTTAATTGATTTTTTAACTAAATATTCGCCACATTCCACATAAAATACCAAAATTACAGTACACAATTGCCTACTGCACATATTTGCCCTCCCCCTTTCTTGTCAACCAAGATCACAATTAAAGTATTCGTAAAGGAATTCAAACGTAGTAGGCTATTTAGTTGTTGTTTACTTTTAATTCTATTTTTCATGTTCGTTTGAAAAAAATAAAATAAAATAAAACTATGATTCATGTTAAAAGTAATTAATACGATGTTGGAGAATAAATTAGACAACCAATACGCCTGATCATATCTCTGCTCATGATCCACCTATATAGTTCACCTGGGTGTACCAAGAGCAATTATTTCTTCCCGTAGTTCTCCTCAAGATAAGTGGGTGTACCAGGGGTTTTTCTTTCTTCCCGTGGCTCGCCCTTTTTTCGATCACGGAGAGAAAAAATCGTTATATCCACGTACAATGATCAACGCCGCAATGGTTTGCTAAAAACAAACCCCTGACCCAGCCAATGGCGTGGTGCATTCGGCTCGCGGAGAGCATGCCCGGGAGCCACTGGCAGCGTGGCAGACGTCAATCCACCCCTCTTCAACCGGTTGTCTCCTTCTGTGAGATGACCTCCTCACCATCGCCTGCCAGGATCTGTCACTTCCCAGCATGGTCCATGCCATGCAAATGACAGATCCTGGCGCCAGGGCCGTCAGCTAGACTTCTAGCGGTACCTTCTGTGACCGCCAGGGATAGGGGTTTCTCCGCAGTACCATCGCGAGACGGTATGAAACGAGGCGTAAGGAGCGCGACTCATAATTGGTTCGCCCTAGTTCACTTGGCTCTACCAGGGGTAATAATTTCTTTCGTTCTGTTTTTCACTTTTATACTTTTGTAGTTGGACAACGGGCAGTACATTTACATACATGTACATTTAATTGTATGGGAAGAAATGATTGCCGTTGGTACACGCAGATCTACTATATAGGTGGACCATGGGCGGGCAGGCCTGATATATATCACTTATCTGAAGAGTCTGAAAGCTAAGAATTTTGAAAATAAAAAAATCTATAGATAAAAACAAATCCAGATTTCGGTGTACAATTGTTTATTTTCAGTTTAACGACTTCAACGACTCATGAACTGTTGAGTCAACTGAGCTGCGGTTACTAAGTTTGAACGGGCCCGGCGTCTCCCTTCTTCATTATTCGAACAAGTTTGCATTCCCGCTTGCCTACCCACACATTGTCTCATTGCTCTATGCTAATGTAAGCGTCAAGTTAACTCACAAATATGTACACAACTTTTGTAACGAACTTCTGCCAGCTGTGTGTTCAATCGAAGCACCGCGGTAAGTACGTTGCCATGATGTTACATGATGGTTCTACCTACAGATTGGCAAAAACATTGGTGAAAACAGTTTTTTTTTTTGTTATAAGGGTAGCAAACAAGCGTATGGCCTGCCTGATGATAAGCGGCCACCATAGCCTACAGATGTTTGCGATACCAAAAATGTCACTCGCACCGTTGACCCAATGTCCTACCCCGTGAAGCACTGGAACATTACTAGGAATGTTATTTTACTCTGAAGAGGAAGGCTACTTCCCCAGAAGGGTGCTACAATTCGAGCGGCAAATCCACTATACCCTACCTCCCTTAAAATTGTTCAAATATTGGTAACAGTGAGGTCTAAAGTTCGCTGCAGCACTCAAACACTGCACATGTACATTGCTCATTGTAACAAAACGAGGTAAGTGTATAGATGCATGAACACAATAGGGGTGATGACGGGGTACAGTAAACGAAATTCTATTTAGTCCATCAGTTAGATGATCAAAAAATACACACGACACGTATTTTTTCCTTTGGCCAATCAACCAAAAAATAACAAAGTTATAGCGCGTCAAAGTTTGGGAGTAGGTGCTCGTGACGTCACTTTTAAGTGAAAATTGTACCAAAACGTGACGTCATGCGACTTTTCAAATCAATATATCTCTGCAATATTTATATTATGTGAAAAAAGAAAAAAATACGTGTCCAATACTTTTTGATAATGTACCTGATACACGGAAAAAAATTAAGAAAGAAGAAAATGTACGCGCACTGCTTTCTCTTGCTTATATCCCCCACTCAACTCCCGTTTGCCTTGCTCGAACACAGTTTTCGTAACGCGTAACGCACTCGCCAGCTTACCCCCCAAGCCAAGCGTGCGTAAAGAAGTTTCTCTTCAAAAATTGTGCAAGTGTAACGATAGTATTGCCGGGACTGTATGAACTCATGTGAATGATAAATAACATTACGAGTTTTGACCCATTATTTGTGATAACCACTGTAGATGCATCCAGAACCAACGGTTTAACCTGCTACAAGAAAATAAACTTTTTCATCCTATGATCCAGCATTTAAGAAGGTTGCTTAACTTCCATGGTTACAGCTCCCACGCGCTAGCCATTTTGAAATCAAGTTCGATATCCATACTAATATTGTAAATATGAAAGTGTGTATTACTTTTATCTCTTCACGCTTAAACCGCTGAACCTAATTAAATGGAATTTGTTATACAGATATGAAGATATGGGAACAGATATAGAATATTAGGTTTTAACTCAAAAATCATTCTTTAAAGCCGGGTACTCGTTAGCGAGCTGTAAACGGCTTAAAGGGAAGGCAAGAGGGGTGAAAGTTTGTTTGGGAAACCAAAGTTTACACGCAGACGAAGTCGCGGACCCCCACTAGTTTTCTTTAAATTACAGAGTAGCTGACTGAGCTATTCTATTTTTAGGTACGTCGCGAGTCACTTTCGAGTGCATTAAATGAATAAATGAACCTCATGTACGGTAGTAATGTCAATTACAATAACGTAATTACCATCAGCACACATTGTTACGAGCCGGTCAGCTCCACTGTATGGTTAATTAAAACTCATCTGAATTCCCGCTTGTAAATTTTACGTTGGCGAGTTTTTTTTTTGCAGAACTTTTCGACGTAACATTCAGTTCTCTGTTTATTTATGAGCTTTTGCTACCGCCTGTTAGTCGCTCGGGCAGGCTGCTTGACCGACAATATTTTCACATTAAATGCTTTTTTCTCAGTACCAATTTAGACACATAAACAATCACACACACTTTCATATTGAATTCGTATAAGCGTTGTGTTAGCGAGTTTTACGAAGGGTTGCATGTTTGATATTTAGACAGCGGCCTTTAAAAATACATCATTATTTAAATGGTTTTCAGTACAGTCTTGTCTCGTAATGTCAGCGTAGCTGTTGTAAACGTAAAATAATATAGCCATACTACCTTTTAAACGATTCTTACTTATACAATTATAACGTGTTTAATTAAATCGTGCTGTATATTTAGGTTTTGCTGTTGTTAAATGCGGATTCAGATAAAGTTATCGTGGCCTTTGAAAGTTCCAACATTTTACAAGAATTAATTAAGTGGTAATATTTAATTGTATTTAATATGAACCTACGTACTATGTTGCTTATTTATATAACTTTATACCATTTCCTTGCTGCGTTGGCAAAGCATTAAAAGAAATTGATACCTTTAATCAAATAACAACTTTATTTTTATTTTGGTACTCTCGTATCTTGCTCAGTTAAAGCTGTGCTATATCAGGTGTCGATTGTGTAAAACTTTGTTTGGAAAAACAAAACTGTAAGTAGCTGGGTATAAATTGGAGGCGATTTTTCCCTCCTTCGATGCAGCCCGGGGGGGTTATCCCTTTGTGTTACGATCTACATAAAACCACCATAATGCACTAGCTTCGTAAATAAAGTCTGAACTGAAGACACATTTGCGACATGC